GCGTATTTCAGGATGATGTCTGTAGTCATAGCAACCCAACATGTTTGGGATATTCCATCTATCAGACTAAGCTAACAAGTAAGGAAAATCATTCGATATTTCTGGTAGAAGAATGTTAGTCCTAATTGCGTATTTCAGGATGATGTCTGTAGTCATAGCAACCCAACATGTTTGGGATATTCCATCTATCAGACTAAGCTAACAACTAAGGAAAATCATTCGATACTTCTGGTAGAAGAATGTTGGTCCTAATTGCGTATTTCAACTACCTGGAGTGTTTATCTTTTACGCAAAGCTTCTGCTTAAAAAATTCTGGCCTTCATCATATGTTCCAACTGCCTGTAATACTTCTGCTAGAAGAATGTTGACTTCAACATATATTTCAACTGCCGGTAGTGTTTATCTTTCACACAACGTTTCTGCTTTAAGAATGCTGGCCCTAATCACATATTCTAACTGCCTGGATTGTTTATCTTTCCTGCAATGCTTTTGCTAGATACTGCCCACCTTCATCGTATATTATGACTGTCTGGAGTGTTTATCTTTAATGCAACATTTCGGAAAGATTCTGTTGGTCCTTCTCGTGCTGGAAGCGTTATCTCAGGTTTATAAAATGTAGACACGTTTCTTCTGGTCTTCTTCACTGACATAAATACCTGGAGTATCTTTTTTGTTTTGCACATTGTCTTATCAAAGTAAATTTGTATTCTTCTTCAAAGAGAACAGGTTTATTTTTAACAAGTGTTTCATGAACGTGTAGTCGTTCATCTCGCAGACGTCAGTGTACGAGATTCATCAAGACCCTTTTAGGCTTAGGACAGTCTTATTGAAGCGTTTTGTTTAAGAAAATAATTCAGGATATTGTAACTAACTGTCCATAGCTCGTTTGTTTTTTCAAGTAACGCAAACAGAAAATCAAAAACGAAGAAGGAATAACTTAAGATATTATTCAACAAGACAACGATTAATATATTAAAACTGCACAAAAGCTTAAAGCAGAACGTCTGCCGAGCTCCCATAAAGTCCCTCGTTTATACCATCTTTTCTCTTTTTTATTTATAGTTTTTATAACGTGTGTCGTGATCGATTTAGGTCAACAGAATTTTATTAGAATTCATATGGTTTCTCTTATGTTCGTTCTCGTGGGATTTGAAATACACGTTTTCAATCGTTAAGAGCAACTGCATAAACTATGTATGTTTGCTAATGATTATTTTGGTA